TCTGTGATTCTGTGATTCTGTGATATGTACAGGGCAGAGAAGCTTTCCAGCTCATGCAGTCAACTGTGCCAGCAGAGGATTGGTCCAGTGTGTCTTGAGTCAAATCGTGCATGCAGCAGACATGCATTCTGTGGCTTAAATACTCCAAGAGTGAATTCTGTTCCTTGCGGGGTGTTTTTTTTTTTCCCATTTATTTTTATTATTTGTAAAAAACAATGAGGACTCAATGCGCTCTGGTTTTTTTTCAGTGAGCGTATCAGCATGCGCCAGTCCAAAGTGGATAAGCTGTATGCAGGCCTGAAGGATCTAGCTGAAGAGAGACGGGGCAAGCTGGATGAGAGACACAGGCTGTTCCAGCTCAACCGCGAGGTGGATGACTTGGAGCAATGGATTGCCGAAAGGGAGGTGGTGGCAGGATCCCACGAGCTGGGACAGGATTACGAACATGTAACAGTAAGTTCCTTGGAGGTGGCTGAAGGTTGACCTTCCTCTTCTGGATGCTGCACACAGTAGATGGTTAATATAAAAGTGTGGCTGGCTTGCTTTGTTTGCTCAGATCGATTTGTAATTTCAGCGCTACATGAGTCCGTTTCTCTGTGTTTCAGATGCTACAGGAGCGATTCCGAGAATTTGCCCGGGACACCGGAAACATTGGACAGGAGCGCGTTGATACCGTTAACCACATGGCAGACGAACTCATCAACTCTGGACATTCAGATGCTGCAACAATTGCAGAGTGGAAGGATGGACTCAATGAGGCCTGGGCTGATCTCCTGGAGCTCATTGACACAAGAACACAAATTCTAGCAGCTTCTTATGAACTGCACAAATTTTACCACGATGCCAAGGAGATCTTAGGACGTATTCAAGACAAACATAAGAAACTGCCTGAAGAGCTTGGTAGAGACCAAAACACAGTGGAAACACTACAAAGAATGCACACAACATTTGAGCATGATATCCAGGCACTCGGCACCCAGGTGGGTAGCAAGCGATGGTGCTGTCTGGGGGTATAGGAACCTGAGCTGCTGCTCTTGGCCCCTCCGGGGCTGGGAGGCAGAGTCCTGCCAGCCGCTTTCCAAGTGTATTTCTGTGAGAATGACTTCACCTGCGTCATTTTGTTATCTGTCTTTCTGCTTCTCTGTCATTGCATTAGGTTAATTAGTTTATCTAAAATAGAAATCCGTAAGTACACAGATTTCTGAACAATGTAGGTAATTGTTGAATGTTATTCCATTTCCTGTCCTTGGTTGAAGAAGAAATCATAAAGGCAGAGAATTTCTGTATTGATTTAAAGTAAAGCAAAAGGCTGTGATGTCTCCTGACAGTCTCAGCCTGCTGTGGGCATAGGAATAGAGAGTGGACGGAGAGGCACGAGGGTAACACGCTTCAGCTCCTCAGAGGACCTTTTTCTGATTGCCTCAAGCAGCAGCACCAGCAGGACGCTGCGTGGCTGATACAGTTGGGAAATAGCTTACATTCAAAGAAAAAAAGGTTCATTTGAGTTAACATAGTGTCTCTTTAGTCACTTTCTGAAAGACATTGAAGAGACACTAAATCTGTAAAGAATTTTTAATGTACCAGAGGTAGTATGAAATAGAGGTTTCAGATTTTTCTCTCCTTAACATTGTTCTTGGGTGTTATATTAATGGTGCTGGAAGTCACCTTAGATTTGCCTGCTCCTTATGTCATGTTTACCTTGGTGAACGCACAACACAACTATTCTGCCCCATAAAAGAATCGATATTCTAAAGGATACTTGGAGGACAGGGGCAAATATGAAGGGATGTGTAAGGCCAGTTGTTTGGGTTTATTTGCTTTGTTTTTTTTTAAAAAAAAAACAAAAAACAAAAAAAACACCAAAAGGCCCCAACCAAACCCTCTTTTGCTAGGAACTTTTTATTTTTCCTTTCCAAGAGGCAAAGGAGCTCTGTAGACCTACACAGAGGCTTTCTGAGTTGATTATGAATCTGGGCTTTCTGATTTAAATAGAGCTTTCTATGGTGCTCCCTAACAGCAGTCTGAAGAGTTTTAAAGTACATATCCCAGGCTAAGATTTTTAAAAGCAGCCAAACTTGATCTAATTCAGAATCATTTGAAGCCAAGGTATGTTAAATAGAAGGCAGCAGCCATTCATACAGCACGCAAAGGATTCTAAACCAAAAAACAATGTTAAGCTGCCAAAATGAGAATTTCAGAAGGGAACAAGTTGCTTAAGGAATGGAGGAATTACAAATGACTGCATTTATCCCAGAAGGTCGGGAAAGATAGCTTTTATGGCCAAGCTGCCGACCAATTCTTGATTATGTTGCAATTTCCATAGTTGTTTACACTAGGATAAAGGGGATATAGCAACCATTTGATTTTCCAAGTGTTTTACTTTCAGAAGCTGTAGATTTTATACATGACATGGGAGATACTCACAAAACACCAAACCCAGTCTCTCAAAAAGGTAATTATAATCAAGGCCTAAATGAAGGAATATGTAATCATAGCGCAGAGCGATGGTAAAAGCACTTAGCATAGTTGTTGGGTGAAACAGCTAGAACACCGAGATGGATCATTATGACAGTGGCTTGATCTCTGTGCCTGTTTAATTTGGTGTTCAAACTTTTTTTTATTATTTTTAAAAAGAGAAAATAATTAGAAAAGAGCTAATAGAATGATTCCTGGCTTGAAAATATGTGAAAGTCAAGAAGTAGCATTTGATGTCTCAAGACAGTGTTTGAAAGGAAAAGAGATTTCTAATAGTAGAAAGATATTTGAATTTCCAAATTTTCTTCTGTTTGAAGTCATTATCTACATTTTGGAAAAAAACTCTCTCATTAAAATGCATTTTTCATACTCTGACAGAGTAGTGTTTTGACACAGGAGTTCCTGAGTGGCATTAAAAATTTGATGATGGGACCATTTGCCCTGATATTTAACAGTCACTTTGCAATGGCACCCACTTTTACAGGAGGTTTAGGCAGTGGCAAGTGTTTGTTATTTTGGGGGCCCCTTGACCCAACAGTCTTCTCTAAGAAATACTATCAGAGGGATGTACTGACTTGGTAACAGAACAAACCTTTCTAGTATTGACAGACCAAATATATTTGCGGTGACTTTAGACAGCCATTCAAATGATGCATTAACAGTTAAAATTTCCCCATATTTGTGACTCCAAGTATCCAAACGTTGACTCATTTCTCTCTTGTAAAAACACACCAGGTGAGACAGCTGCAGGAGGATGCTGCACGCCTTCAGGCAGCCTATGCCGGAGACAAAGCTGATGACATCCAGAAGAGGGAAAACGAGGTCCTGGAAGCATGGAAGGCGCTGTTGGACGCCTGCGAGGGCCGCAGGGTTAGGCTGGTGGACACAGGAGACAAATTCCGTTTCTTCAGCATGGTTCGTGATCTCATGCTTTGGATGGAAGACGTTATCCGACAGATAGAAGCCCAAGAAAAGCCAAGGTAATGTGAAGTTCTCAATCAGAAGATAAGGCTGCAGGTCAGTTGAGGAAAAAACCTCGGTATCACCGAGCCAGGAATTCGAAGGGAGGCTGTCAAAATCTGATGGTGATGTTGCAGCTGCTTTTGTGTATTGCCGCCCAGCAGAGGCTGGGGACTACTGAAGTAACTGCGATGTTGTGTTCAAAGGGATTAAGTCCCACACGTTTGTTTATTTGATTTCTGATTCAGACCAGAATGGTGCTGTTCCTAAGGAAAGGCTGCTCACAATCTTGCTTCCTGAACTTCAAAGAAAATATAGGAATTAATATTTTATTGTACAGTTCTGGGTTAGTTTACTCGTTTGAAAATGTAACGGCTGTTAAAGCTGGAGTGCATGTTTCTGAACCGTGGATTCATCATTTTAGGGATGTTTCGTCTGTTGAATTACTAATGAACAATCACCAGGGTATCAAAGCAGAAATCGATGCCCGAAACGACAGCTTTACTACCTGCATCGAGCTCGGCAAATCTCTTTTGGCAAGAAAACACTACGCATCGGAGGAGGTACTGTGCTTACTGAACGGGTAACAGCCGCAGTGCAGCTGGCCTGTAGGGTCTTTTTTCAGCCAGAGAAGCTTGCATTGTGTAATCTACAGATTAATAAGCTGTGTACTTATCATGACACGCATTACTTCAGGGACTCTTCCACTTATTTGCTATTGTGAAATTAGTGTACAATTTAACTCTGTGAATTCGTGTTGGGTGGCAGAGATGGCACCTAAATTTGAAGTATCATTATCAGTCCAGGAAATGCAAAGAAGCTCTTGCATTCAGTTCTGCAGAGAGAGCACTCTGGGCTGGCTGTGTTTGGAGAGGTGACTTCTTTGAGCAAGAGCAGAGACGACCGCTACACAGCCTGAATTTTGTACAGGGGAACTGGAATGCAATCAAAAGGCCTGCTAGGGGAAAGAGCAAGAAAAAGTTTGTCTCATAGGGAGTAAATCCAGGGAATATTAAGAGAAAAATGTATCCAGCTGCTTAAGGCCTTGATTTATTTTCTGATTTGTCTAGGCCAGAGGATAGAGGCTTAATCCGCGGTTCTTCCTGCCTCCCTTTGGTGGAGAGAGGATAGCCAAATGTAAGACACTGCCCACTCAGAGAGGTGATGTTTTCTGTGTCTGCATTACACACAAGTGCTGTGGAGTATCCTTGGAGAAACATTTGCTCAGGACCTGGGTGGGTTTGCTAGGCAGTATTCACCCCGAGAATAACATGGGGCGCACGCTGGCACATCAGCGTTGTTAGCGCAGGCAGCTGCAGGCTTTTTGTAACAATCATGGGCAGCGCATTTTGCGGTGTTTGCTCGAAAAAGGGGATAATATGTGGGCGGGCTATTTAGATTTGTTTGTCCTTTATGCTCTTTTTATCAAATAGTTTTGGTGCTGTAGTTTTAACAGATACTGTATGCTTATGCAAACGTATTTCAAAAGAAATGTCATACTTATTTATTCTTCGAAGAGGAAAACAGCTGTTGTATTCACATTTAAGTCATGTTCTGGCAGTCTAGCACGATGTATCCTGTCCGTAAATGCCAGTGCCTTCTGTTGGTGGCACACTACATGGTGTGGTGTGGTGAGCCTGCTGCCTGGTGCTTGTGTAACAGTACTGCATTCTCCTCTTCAATCCAGATCAAGGAAAAGCTGCTGCAGCTGACAGAAAAGAGAAAAGAAATGATTGACAAATGGGAAGACAGATGGGAGTGGCTGAGACTGAGTAAGGACGTCCTTTGGTTTCTTTTGGGCAGGGTGATACTTAACTCTCTTCACTGTGTCCTTCTGAGTGTTGAAAAAACCTGCAGCTCCTTACTCTCTTTTTAGAGTGCTTGAACGTGTGTGTGTACTGTAATAAGTGTAAGATTCACACCTGTTGATCAGAAAATAACTGAGAATTTGAAACCAAGAAACCTGCACCAAAGGTCTTACTCTATATGATCAAATTTGGAGCTAGATGAAACAGATCTACCGTATTTTGCAGGTGTCACATTCCAACTGTGTTTCTACAAAGGACACACTACTAAAAAACAGGGAGAAGTAAAGCCCTGCTACCTTACACATGTAATGTGCCCGTGTTATCTGAGAGGCTAGAAGGTTGATGAGCAGTTTACTGACAAAAGGTGTGCTTTTAAACATTGCAGCATTTTACAAGTTTTACACCAGCAGCAATGACCCCGTTCTGATACTCTTAACAAGGTGATCCATATCCCATATACGGACTGAAGCCTTCGTCCCAGACAGTGGTCCAGGATCTCAAAACATACAGTGCAGTGTAGTCATTTTGTGGGGTTCTGGGCTGCTGTGTATACTTTCTTCGTTGTTTCTGAGCCTCAGCAGACTTTAATAGAGTAGCATGGGTGGTTGTTCCTCAGTTTGGGTGTTTGTACCCTATTGTACCCTATTATTCATCAAAATTGCTTGATCCCATCCACAAAAGCCGTGGAAGCTTTTTTTCAGCTGTGAAGACACAAGGCAGGAAACCTGGAACTGTAGCACTGCAGACAAGCATAAAGTACAGAAATACTGCTTGCTGAAGGGAACTACAGCCTACAGTCTAGCTGTTCTGTAGACAGGCCAGTCTGAGGAAAAAAACCAGCAGATTTCAGACTTTCTACTCTGAAGTTAGTAGGTTACAGCAGATTAGAACAAAAAGAAAACACATTGCAAAATGAAATAGTCTGTAGAAGAAGTGAAAGTGAGCCTTAACTTTTATTTTTCCTCAAAGCAAAGCCAACAGGATAAATTTCTGTCGTTTAAATTATTAAGTTCAGCGAGCTTAGTTAAGGAAAATGCTTAGCCAAATACATTTACTTTTTTCCCAAGCTATTTTTAAGTAAGTTCAGAAGATGCCTGATGCCTTCATGATGCTCTTTTTGACATTAATGGCGCTGATATCTGCACATTGTTTGCTCAGTTTTGGAGGTACACCAGTTTTCAAGAGATGCAAGTGTGGCAGAGGCCTGGCTGCTGGGACAGGAGCCCTACCTGTCCAGTCGTGAAATAGGTCAAAGTGTTGATGAAGTGGAAAAACTAATTAAGCGGCATGAAGCATTTGAAAAATCTGCAGCTACTTGGGATGAGAGATTCGCAGCGCTGGAAAGACTGACCACGGTGAGCGCTGTCGGCGAGAATAACCTCTCTTGGCCATTCCCCTTTGTTTTGGTGCCATCTGATGGTTCAGAATAACTCCCAGCGTCGCCAACCTAATAACTCCCAGCGATCAACCATCCATTTGTTGATCCATTTGTTGGTCAACCTAGGCCAATCGTCCAGAGCCTAAAGTTTCATGTTCCCAACAGTACTAAAACCCTCTCAGGTTCATTTGAACTCAAGGACCTGCAGGGAAAGCTGAAGTGATAAATGACCTTAGTAGTCAACAAGAGCTGTCTCAGGCCCAGGAGTGGTGACCCAGAAGCAAATTCAAGAGCTGAGCGGCTTGCTCCAGCCCTCTGCCATACAGGTTGTACTGCTAAAAAGGAAGGGGGATTCTGAGTGAAGACAACCCAGATCCAAACACCTGAAATGATTTTTGGTTAAAGACAGCAGTGTGCGGAAAAAGCGGTGGGGAGGGGGCATTTCACAAAAATGTTTGTTGTGTTTTGACTGCTCCAGTACAAGGCTGTATTGTCCCCTAGAAAGACATAGTAGGCCCCCCAAAAAAACATTTTAAGCCCAGAGGCAAGGCCAGTAATCAATGCTTGGAGAGCATGTTACCATCTTTGGAGAATAATTTTACTTCAGGCACTAAAATTGAAGTGGCTTTGTTTTTCACACGCACTGAGCGTCACAGCTGCAGGCAAAATGAATTGGAGTTTCTCAGCATCTCAAAAAATCAGACCGGTTTTATTTAGATGGTTAATTTCAGGGATTTGGATGTGGAACACTTCATTTCTATGTATGGCAAGCAGGCAAGAGGATGTCACTTTTCAATATTTTAATAGCTTGGGCTGCTTGCTTGTTTGTCTGGTTTTTGTTCTAATATAACAAATTAGAACACGGACAGTGGCGAGCTGCTGCCCAGGCACTTCACTTGATGTTAAAGGGTCTGATACTGTATGCCTTTACTGACAAGTTCAGTGCAACAGACTTTGCATGGTTAATACTTTTCAAGACTGATGCCTTCAGATTTTATTCCAATAAACTTTAATTTCAGTAATGTTTTGGACAAATGTCCGGAGTTACTTTTAGTTTCTAGAAATGCCCCTGAAAAATGCGCAGTGCTTCTAAACGCACAAAAATGTTTCATTTCTCAGTTGGAACTGCTGGAAGTACGTCGACAACAAGAGGAAGAGGAGAGGAAGAGACAGCCACCCACTCCAGAGCCAAGCCCAAAGGTTGCAGAGGATGCAGACTCCCAGCAGCAATGGTGAGCCCAGGGGGTGGGAAACTGAACTGCGTGCTTTACGCTGTTTCTTCAGACAGAGTTCTCGGGCTGAAGATGCCTTGTAAAGGGAGAGTCTAGGGGTTGCATGATTTTGTAATGTCACCCTTTTTAGAAGACTTGGTGGTTGTAGTTTATGGGGACAGGACCTTTCCCAGACATCTGAATTCACTGCTAAGTTGAATGTTTCGATTTTTCATCATGACGCAGCATTGCAACTGCTGAGGTGTACCTGGCCCTAACGTAAAAATGCTAGTTCTACTCCCCCCGTGTTATGAGTTAAAATTTCTGAACGATCTTGGCTTTCTTTTTTAATGAGCATCAGTTACAGATAGATTTCAAGCCATGTCCATGGAACATGAACATTTATAAAATCACTGATCTGATAGGAGTAGACTTATTTGTAAGGTAACTGTCAAGAAAGCCTGTTTTGATCTGACATAACATTGGATTCATTGGCATGAGGATTTTAAGAACTTGCTTGAATTTCTGAGGTGTGCAGTATTCAGTTGGAAAAATCTCATTTTGGTGAAAAAGTTGGGTGACTTTCAAGAGCTTAATACATTTTCTTTCCTCTCTCCCAACAGGGATGGGACAAAAGGAGAACAGGTTTCCCAAAATGGTTTGCCATCAGGCCAGGAATCTCCACGGGTTAGTTACCGCTCCCAAACCTACCAAAACTACAAAAACTTTATTAGCAGACGGACAGCCAATGACCGATCGTGGTCTGGACTGTAACATACAGAATCATTTGCAGCAAAAGACACCGTTTTTCAGTATGGTTTACTGGTACTGGTTTAATCTTTTGGCTTCAGATTTCCCTGCTGCTTTTCTCTTCCTTCCCATCAGTTGACTTTTATTTAATTAGCAGCCCCTTGGAGATATATTTGCTTCACTTTGATCCTTGTTTATTTGAATCTCCCCACTGACACGCAGTTGCTTTAAGGTGACACATTTTATTTCATGTTATTTACTGTGAGTTTTTCATGTCGCTAATAGTATTAAGATTTTCCAGCTAAATCGTCCTTTATATGAGTAATTGAGATTTAATGAGAGTACATCATAATGAAGAAGAGAACTAGAATCTGACAGGTATGACGCATCGAGTTATACTAACAGGTTTCAGCACGGCAACATTATTAAATCAGCTGCATTAGCAAGCGAGTTATTTACAAGGCCATAGATAATACATGCAAGTGAGCTCGGCAGCAAAGGCTGGGAGGGAGGGGAGAGCTCTAACTATTGACAAATGAAAGCCTTAAGGTTAGTTGTATAACATTCCATGCAGAACGGACTCATTGACAGCAGATAAAAATAAACATGAAATAAAATATTAAAAACTAGTATCTAGATTTATCTTGGTATTTAGCCCTCATGAAGAGTTGGGATCTTGCTGAGTGGCTGTTTTGGGGCCCCATTTTGCCTTGGTCCTGTCCAATTTACATTACAGCAATTCCATTTACTCACGCTGGAGAGAGAGTGGTGTAAAAGAGAGCAGGGTGCAGACCCTTGTGGAGAGGTTGTGATGCTTTTCTTTAAAAACTAAATAAAATACATTGGTCTAAGTTCCCAGCTCTTTATTTTATATAGATGCAGGTTGAATGGTCCATGCCTTATTCATTCCTTCTTGATAGGGGACGTCCCGGTGGAGTCAGGATGCATGCCAATAATCGTCATATGCAGCCATAAAATACCAGTAAATATGTATATATAGTTAAAACAACACAGTAGTTGAAAACTGGCTTATCTCTCCATTACCTTCCTGTAAAGCCTACTTGCTTCAATTAATGTTTTGAGTGGTGAGGAGAATGAGACTTCCCTTCCTTATGTTTTTGAGCCTCACTCTCTGAGGTCGTATTAAGTGCCGGAAAGGCTCCTGGCAGGCTCAGATTAGTGGATATTAGAGCTCTTACAAGTACTGCAAAGGAAATGCAGGTCCCATTCTAGGACCCGGGGGAGGAAATGCCTTTCAAGCATAAGTTTGTCTTTTGAATAGCCCATCCTGGTTACTTTTGGGTCTGCACACAGACTCTGTCAAGGCTTTAGGATACTAAGCAGTTCTACCTTTTCCTTTCTTTAAATAAAGCCTTTTGGTTCATCTTTAATATTAAATGGTGGAGTGAGCTGTCTATTATACATTCTAATGTTTATGAAATTATATATAGTTGTGGTGAGGTGGCCTGCAAGCACATTCCAGGTCATCATCATCTTGTTGGTTACCACGTCACCTGTTTGCTGCTTTTTTTTATTTTATGATACATAATGCATTTCTGTGTTAGTCTGCGCCATCTGCACATCAGTCTTCCACGAGGGCTTTTTTTCGCTCAGTTCAATGAATCTTGTGTTGCAATACATCAGATGTACGCAGCTGTATTTCTGACTTGAGGAACGAAATATGCTGCTGTTGATCTGAATTTAGACTTCTGACTACTGGCTGAGCAGTGCGGCTGAATTGTTCTGTATTGGCTGAGCTCGTAAAGTGAGAAAGATGATTGAAAGGATGTGCTTCAGTAATTGTACTTTTGCTGTAACTTGTCTTTCCACTTCATGATGCATGTGTTTTTTGTTTTTTGGGTTTTTTTTCCTTTTGTCAGGATAACAACATACAGCTTCTTAATGCTTTTAAAAATTCCATGTAAATTTATGCAGATGATCTGGTGACTGCCTACACCAGTGCTGGTTCTCTGTGCTGTAAGAGTATGACAGTTCTCAGAGCAGGATAGCTGTAGCTTCAGGCTCTACCACCTGGGAAGCCTTCAGATGTATTCTCGCTAAAAAGTAGTATGTAAAAGTAGTTTATATAGATATACTTTTTAACTTGTATTAGTACACTTTTGTATAAAAATTACACTTTTATGATGAAGAAACATGAATTAAGTCATCGGTTAAGGTCATAATTTTAGGCACTAGAAGTGTAAGATTTTACCCATTTATTGTAGCCTATGGTACTGGCTTAAAACCTTACGATGGTACTGATGCCAGAACAGTATATAGGCTGTCATTTATTTAAGCTGTGGTGCAGAGACTTAAGTTGATGAACTGAATATAATGTTGCTTCAAGCACTATGAAAATCAAAGGGATGTCTCCAGTCATTGTCACCAGCTGTCTTGTTGCATGTTACAGTCCCGATTTAAATCTCTCAAGAGTAGTCTTGAGCCACTAAAGCACTTGCAACACTTGCAACTAACCTCTCAGTCACGATTAAGAAAACTGTATTCATGTACGTGGTAACTGTTTTGTTGTAACAGTACAGTTTGCTATTAATGTTTGTCCTCTGTTGTGTTGTCTCTGCATGCCCGATGCATGTTTCCATTAAAGTTTGTTTAGCTCCTGTTTTTTCTCTATTTTCACGAGACATTCTTCGCATAGCTGTTTGTGATTCAGATTTATTTTGCTTGTTCTCTGTTAATTGTAGATAACACGAAAAGGAAATAAAACCTGAAAGAGCATCAGAAAAGCTTTTCATAGCCCTTTTACAATCAGTAGAATTTCAAGTAGAAATTACAGGTCTGATCGTGTGATTAAAGTTGGCAGTTACCTTTTAAAACCGCAGGGTTGCAGATTGCAGCACTGAATTACATGTTATTCCCCATAAAAACACATCAGGTAGCTGTGCAGTGGCTGCTGTTTTGAAACTGGTCTGTTTTACTTCAGATTAGTGGCTATAGGTACCCCAAAATCAGTAATTTCACATCTTGCCGCTGTCTCTACAGAAAAGATGCTGCTTTCGGCATCGGTTTAGGGAACCGGTAGTTCTGGGTAGTTTATGTCAGTTGTTGAGATAAGTTACTGTGGTCTATGTGATTCCTTATTGCTGGGCACAAAGGCTTCATGTATCTCCGACAGGGATCCAGCCAGTTGGAAAGCAGAGAGTTTCAAGTTCAGTAACTGTCACTGGTCGGAAAGATGTGCAAAGGGCCGTCCTTTCTCTTGAACGCGATCTGTTGGCTGTTGGTGATCAGCGCCGGTGATGACTGATTTAACTGAGCTTTCGTTGGTGAATCGCTGGTGGTTTGCTTCACTACCTGTGTTATGGTAGCTGTGCTGGCAGCGTGTGGGTAATCTTCAGCCTCATCTGTTTATTTGCCCTCTCCCCCCTCTAATGCAACATTTTTGTTCTGTTTTGAGATTTGGATACAAATAGTAAGATTTGATGGCTTAGATTTATCCTAGTTGTGAAGAAGCAGTGTCGTTGAGTTTTACTTCCACTGGAGAACAGTGCAGGATAGATGTTTATAAACTCTTACAAACGAGGCTGTAAGGCTACCTGTCTTTGGGGACAGAGTAAAATAGATACGACTGAAGTGGAATGTGAGCTGTGATTCTTTCCCCGTTTCAGTGGCGTAGTGTCGGTACTCCGGAGATTTAGGTTGCTTAAAGGCAGTTAACCAATCCTTCCCATATTCATAGCACGTTGGCCCTTAGATCATCCTAGGTCAATACATGAGGTACAAAGGTGTGAGGTACAATAATGCGTACTTGGCAGGTATAAGAAGTTCTAGCAAATGGTGGCAAAATTTAGTTTGTTGCATAATAATTCGGCTGCTTTTGAATTGTCCAGGCCGTGTGCAGAAGTGGGAATGTCTAATTATTGTGCCATTCACAAATACCTGCTTGTCTGCATAAAACCAGTCCAGAATGTTTGTAATCTACTAGAGCATTAGCAGCACTAAGCTTTAGTAACTTGCTAATAATAATAATAATAATGATGATGATGATGATACTACACACTGGTTGTGTAACTCCTGAGCTGCTACCAATGGCTCTACATGTCAAAGTAATGGTACAAGAAAAAAAAAAAAACAAACTGGGACCAAGCTGCATTTCAAAAGTTTATAGCCATTAGGATTCCAATTTAAATGATTTTTGGATGAATGGCTCCTGAAGACGTCGACAGCTTGACCAGTCAGAGCTGCTGGAAACATGGCTGCTCTCTAGGCTATCTCGATCACAGTGCGACAGGCAACGCGATCAACAAAGCAAGTGATGGGCAAGGCCTTGGTTCTGTCTTTGTTTGGGGGTAAATAGCTGTGTGATGTTGTGTGACTGTGGTGGTTTTCAGTTCCTTTAACAAAAATCCAATCCACCTAATAACGAAAGTCTGAAAAAGACCTTGATAAATTGACACGTGACCTCATTTCCCTTGTCTTTAAGATCCAATATCCTAACTGGGATGGTGGAGATGAAATGCATGGTGTAATCTCTCTAATTTCTGCATGTTTTGATTTTGTTGTGTCACTAGGGGAATGGGGAAAGCGGGAAAGGAGCTTTTACAGAAACAAATAAATTATGCAAATTTTTGTAAATGCTCCTGGGCAATTTTGACGTATTTTTCTGCTGACTCATAGTTAATATCTTTTATAGACTTTTAATACCCCAGTAATGCCATAAATGTATTTAAGGTGGCTGATGTGTATAACTTCTACTGTTCCTCTAGGTTTGCAGAAAGTGTGATTGTTACTGTTCCAAACATTTGAGTACTCGGCAACAGAATTAAATGCTCTCATTTTAGGAATAACAATCTATAAAAGAATATGAATTGACCAGCAGAGCAAACACAGTAAAATTCACACTGATGTGTAGCTGCTCTTATTTTCCCATCTCTCTACCTATAAAATGGGTACTAATCCATTCATACCTTCTAATTTCCTTGGCCTTCTGTGTTTCCATGGAGTGTGAGAAAGATCTTATCGGCCTGTGTCATTCTCCAGGCAAAGTTTATACACAGCCACGTTGTGCAGGGAAACAGATTAACTGCAAGATACCTCAGTGTTGTGAGGCTGCTAGCTGAACTGTTTCTCCACTGTTCCTAGGTGGCAGAAACTGCAGAAACAAACGAAATGGTCAATGGAGCTGCAGAACAGAGGACGAGTTCCAAAGAGTCTAGTCCTGTTCCTTCTCCAACGGCAGACCGCAAAGCCAAGACCGCCATTCAGGCCCAGACTGCTGCTACCCTACCAGCCAAAACACAGGAGATACCTTCAGCTCAGATGGAGGGCTTCTTACATCGCAAACATGAATGGGAGACACACAGCAAGAAAGCCTCGAGCAGGTAAAGTACTTGATGCTTGATGCAGATAATTGCATCCAAACTCACCAAGATGTAAGACAGCAAGTGTTACCCCTGCTGCCGTTGTCCTCTCACAGCTCCTAGAGACCGTTCAGGCTTATGCTCCTGTTGTTGTAGGAGCTGTGTATGCATGTTGAACAGTCTTTTTGATGAAGTTGCAATCTGAAGATACATGGTAGAAAATGCAGCGTTAGCCATATTTGAAAGGTGGAAAACTGAGGCATAAAGATATCATGACTCTCCCACTTCACATGATGAACTTGTGGCAGTAGTGGGATTTGATTCCAGATCTCTCAAGTTGTACTTTACTACAAGAAAAGAAAAACACGTAGGTGTGAGAATAGAAGTGTCCATATTCTTCTGACATTTTCTGTTTCCACAGTAGCACTTTCCTCCTACTATGTAATCTGTTCAGAAGAGAAAAGCGGGTGAGCATGATTTTGTGTGCCTTAGTTGATTCCATTCCTAAGGACCTGATCCTGCGGTTCTCAAACAGGCAAAACTTCTGAGATTTGTGTCTGCTCTGGAAAAGCCAACTGGGCTCCTTCATGACCTCAGAGAGCTCTCGAAACCGGATTTATGACTTGGCTGACAAGGAAAAGGTTGACTAGCAAGTGGTGAGCTACACCAACATCTGAGGGATTTGCTAGGAGCCGAAGTACTCAGCAGAGCTGACTGCAAATCACAAATGAGTACAGTACTACCATGATTTTTGTTCAGCTAGAGCTGTTCACACTGGAGAACCATGTTGAGGCAGTGACAGCCAATAATACTAATATCTAGGGATTCTTATTTCTAGTAATCATCGATTTTTATAGCTGTACTAGAGGATGAGGGAGATGATGCCACTCAGACTATTTGTAACAATGAAGTATTTCACATGCAAACTGTTTGTTAGTTTGCAGCACAATGAGAATTCCTTCTACAGTCAAGCATAGTCATTAAAAGGTCCATCAGTTTCTCTCCCAAGTATGCAAACTGCCTAGTCTGTCAGACAGTCCTCCCGTGTTAGGATATGCTTATGTGCTAGCAAAGAGCACTCTGGAAATCTCTATTCCATTTGGCTCAAAGTCAGGACTTCTGTCTTGAAGTTTTTACGAGAGAATTTGCTGTCTGCAGTTTACAGGGTAGTGTGTGCCGTATTTGCATCCTCAGACTGAACTAGTCTCCGTTATTGTCTAGAAATAATTGTGTTTGGTTACTCCAGTTCTGCAAGTAAGAGCATTAGATTTATAAATGCTTGTGGTGTTTTCTGTGTCTTGAAGATCATGGCATAACGTGTACTGTGTCATCAACAACCAAGAGATGGGCTTCTACAAGGATTCGAAAGCTGCTGCTTCTGGCATCCCCTACCACAACGAGATTCCCGTCAGCTTGAAAGAAGCAGTCTGTGAAATAGCAGTCGATTATAAAAAGAAAAAGCATGTGTTCAAGCTAAGGTAACCCACCATTAGTTTAAGTTGTTGTGCCTATGTTCACTGTGCGAATTCATGGGAGGATCCAGCCTGGGACCTGATTTTAATTATTAACTGCGGTATCTGCTTTTCTCAACAAGCTCTTCCCAACACTGAAACATGGTATATTTATCCAAGGTAGAACGCACAAAATGGTATCAGAGTGATCTGTGCACTTCATTTACCCCTGGGGCAAGGGTAGACATGTCTGCCTAAAGCTAGCAGCCTGCATTTAAAAATGCTGGACTTTTCAGCTGCTCCCTCTGGAATTAATTGAAAAGAGCTGAATGTTCATGGTTCTGCTCTTTTAAAAGTCAGGCCTCTTGTTCAGTTTTTTCAGTATGGATTTAGGACACTACTGAAGACATCTATAACATTTTCAGGTCTAGAACATGTAGTTACAGACCATTTGATTTTGAAATACATGAAGTCCTTGCTGTTCAAAGATTTAAAAAAAATAAGGCTCTTCCTTCCAAAATTGTGTTTCTGTTTTACTGATCAATCTTTTAGTTCCAACAGTGAAAAAATATTTTATTATTACACAGCTGCTAGGTGATTCTGTCAAAGGAGACTCACTTTATGAACGGATCAGTTCATGTATTCCAAGATAGAATTTTTTCTTTTTTTTTTTTTTTTGTTGTTTGTTTTAATTTCATACTGATACAAGAATCCTCTGAAGATCATAGAATCCATATCCAGGGAGATTTGTTTTATAGCAAATATATAGGGAAATAGATAGCAAGTATTTAGGGGAATTTATCTTTCTTGAAGACAGACCTGCAGCTATGCGATTCATCCTTTATACTATTTTAAATGTCTCTGAATGGATAATGTAAAGATATGCTGTTCCAAATACAAAGTTAGCAGAAAAATCAATTTCCCTTCTTTTCACAGTACCCTGTCAGCTGCATCAGGGCTCTCGGGTAATTACATGTAGCATATTTTACTCATTCTCATTAGGGGGTCCCCCAGAGAGTTCACCAGCTTGTCCTGTCAAATCTGTCTCTGCAAGCTGAGAAGGGATATGCTGTTGAACGTCTGAGAGCTGAGGTCTCTACAGATCTCATGTGCAGGCAGATCTCTCACAGAAAGGTCTGGTTGTGATCTGTGGAGAGTACACTGGAAATATTTTTCTCTGTTTTTTTAAAGAAGAAAGCAAGGCATAATTATATTCTTCCTAGTGTCTGTCTGTCTTCACTGCTATTTTACTGTTTAATACTTCATTTCATTTCATTTCTTAGATTTTAAAATGCTTTCTTTTTGTGGGGAAAGATGAGGAAGCCTGCAAGACAGCTTCCGCTGACCCTGCCTCCTACTTGTTCCAATGCCTGATCTGATGTTCTTCAGTCTTTTTTTTTTTAATCGATATATATCTTCGCATACATTGTTAAATGTATCCCAGTTAAACCCCCTGAGTAAAATCAGCACAGGAATAAAACAGAAGGGAAACTCTGGCCTTCAGTGTGAGAAGAGGCAGCTACTCATAAATAATAGACCGTACAGTATCTTGAGTCACCACCACAGTAGTTAATGACAGCAGAGCAGCTGCTGAATTTCGCTAGGTTTCTACAAAAGCCATGAAAACTCTGGGTGTTGCCTGTGACTTTGTCTTTTTAAAGTATTGAACTTCTATGCTGTCTTTTGCAAAAGAGAAGAGATCTGCCTGAAAGAGCAAGTACTGAAAGAGCAGTCGTCAGCTGCTGAGGATCGCAAGCTCTGCAGCGCATCCTGACATACATCCACTATCACAAGCGTGTCTAGAGACCAGAACGTACCGTGTGTGGCTGCCTCTGCGTGGCAGTACAAGATACCAAAACATGAGTGGTTGGGGTGTATTTGTGCACGTATAGCTGTTACGACAGTCCCGTGCAGTCCCATATGTCTCAGTCTGATGACGTACCGTAGCTAAGCAAGCAGGAGTTGAAGCAGTGTGACTAACTAGCGAGCTAAATTTGTGATGGTTGTTTTCGTTACAGATTGACTGATGGCAACGAATACCTCTTCCAAGCCAAAGACGATGTAAGTTTGTTTTTCTTATTGTTTATTACTGATGTGATATCTGTGCTGTCATACAACAGGAAAAAAGTAGCTGCTAAGAGCTCAGGGATGCATTTTAATTTCCTGGTCTGCAGTCTTGTGCGTATGTGTGCATAATGTGTAGATTCAGAAGCTCCCACTGGCACCGCCAGAGCAGCAAGGCTTTTCAGATACAGCTTGTAGTAGTCGTCCTCTGCAGGGGCAGAGGAGTGCCAGATGATGAGTTAGGACCGCCTTTCCTTTCATTTCCCACTTCTATCCATTCCCTCTCCACCATGTTGAGTGACTTAGGGCATGTGACGCACGGATTGTAACAGCTTTCTGCCTTTGGGGCTTCTTGAAGGAGGAGATGAACACGTGGATTCAGGCCATCACATCAGCTATCTCTTCTGATAAAATCGAAGTGTCCCCGACCACCCAGAGCACTCCAGCCTCCAGCCGTGCCCAGACCATGCCTGCCAGCGTCACAATAACCAGCGAGTCCAGCCCTGGCAAGCGGGAGAAAGACAAAGAGAAAGACAAAGAGAAAAGATTCAGCCTTTTTGGTAAAAAGAAGTGAACTCCATCTCCACACACTGCACTTCTCTGACCGTTCCAGTGGAATTCCAGCATGCGAGCTCAGAACCAATACGTTACTCTCTGTGCCTCATGTTCCTCAATGTGATTGACATTTTTTTATTTATAGAGCGTTTTAAAATAAAAAGCCAACAAAAAAGAATCTAAAGTTACACGTGTATGAGGTGCATTGGGCAGCTTCTGTAGGAGAGGGAGGACCAGGTTTTGGGGGTTTCTTTTTTGTTTTTTTTTTTTAAAATGAAGTTAATGTAGATTAGATCTTAATATTTAAACTGTTCCTCAATTTTGTGAGGCTGTCTTGGAAAATAACCCACCCCTAGTGCTATTGGTATGCAAGGCAGCGGTGCTTTCAAATCTACTGTGCACATCAAAAACCAATGTACAAATTTTCGAAAACGTTCACTTCCATTTAAGGTTGTTATGCTGAGTCTTGACTAGTAGAGCCTCCCATTACAATTCTAACATTTATTAAAATGATAGTGTATTATCTTTGCTGTAACAGAGTGCAGGTATGCATTAACTTACAGACAAACCATTTATATCCTGGCATTGGTTATTAACACAACCTGAAGCTTTTCTGCATCAAGTACGACAGATAAGAATGTTGGTGTACAAGGCGGATTAGCAGGCTGATACAGTTTTAAATAATCTGTAATTTCAATTTTTTTTTTGCTGAAATACATTATATTGTATGTTTCAGATAATTCTAGTACAAAGTATAATAAGACTAGATGTATAATAAACCCTTTAAAATCATTGATAAGTGTAAAAGTGGAACCGAAGCATTTACTGGAAAAGTAATGTTACTCAAATGGTTACTTGCTTGTCAGCTGCAGCACTGTGTGTTATAATTTTGCTACATTACCTTGCTATTTGATACATAGTGTGCATTTCTCTGTCACTGTAACTATTGTAATGAAAAATTTTCATCTTACTGCACAATCAAAAATGACATTTAATAGGAATGAACTTTCAATGACTGGGCCTGTAGTCAAGAGTAGTACTGGAACTGGCTTTCAGTTGTATCGAACTGTACCTCTAGACTTTTACCCTATCTGTTAAATATATGCTATGTCATTAAATGCTTTTAAAACTAAATATGCTGGTTAAGTTTCTTATTTCATGTCTGATGATGTTAAAGCATAATTTTGAAAGAGGATCAAAAATAAAGTTATTTTAAAATGTCATCTCTCCTGTGCACTGAAACGAATGCCTTCAAATGTAATTCCTTTTTTTTGTGTGGAAGTTCATACTGAAGCAGTTTTCTCTTTTTCCACTTTTCTTTACCTTTCTTTTCCCTTCGCTTCCCACCTGCCCTCCCTTTCACCCTGCCTTCCAAATTAAGTGCCAAAGAGCAACGAGAGAAGGAATGAAACCAACGCTGTGTAAAATATTTTGACATAGCTATCTTTTGTGAGAAATAAATCCGGCAGAATCCATGGAAGTAAGCATAAGCATGGGCTAGGGCAGTTGAATGAGAAGAACATTATTTTAGTAATCTTAGTTCTCCAACTTTCTACCTAGCCTTTGCTCAAGTGCTCAAGTCCTCAATAAATCGGGCACTAATTGAATTTTATAATTTACTGAGGACTTCTTCTCCGGCCCAGTTTAATTTCCTAGGGCTTTTTTATGTCAATTTTTTTCAACATACCTTGTACAGCCACCACTGCGCTTCTGTGATGACATACATTTAATGCAGCTAAGGTGATTCCAAAGCTCGCTATTTGCTTGACCTTGTCAGCATTTCAAAGACTAGCATCTTTTCAGAATTTTAAGTTGGACACCGTCTAGGGAACCATCTAAAAGGGATAGCTCCAAGAAGCCCCAATAGTAGTAGAAGTTTTAAAGTCAACAAAATGTAAGGAACCTGGTTTTCAATTTTTGCGGTTATTAAAATACACTCAAATATAGTTTTAGATGGAAAGCAGGTAAACCGCAAACTAATGTATTTCCAAACCACAGATTCCTGAACTTGTGACCAATACAGTGTCTTAATTCTTTTCATGGAGTATACTGTGTTTTCTGGGTTTTTCTTGTTTCTGAAGTTTTGGGTTATTAAACAATTGAATATTCATGCACGTGAATTTTTTCTGTAATATTACATTGTTCCAGTCTAATTATTAGTAAAATGTAGGAAAACACCAGTAGTCTTGTAAATGTAAATGTAAAATTTAATACAATATAAAAAGCTGAGGTTTAATGTTAGAAGAGAACGTGAAACATTCTTCTTAGTTGATTAAAGTACATAAAAACGTTGATGCCTTACCATTTTTGTCAGTTCAATTAAACTGTTACAATGAGTAGTTTAACAGATTGATCTTGACTACCTGTTGTGTGTAATCCTGTAGTGTCTTGGTTGAACATGCCTTCAAAATTGTTTTTCTTGTTTGTTTTGCCTCTTACTGCAAGTTTTTTTCCTGAAAACTACTTGAATAAAAATCCTTTCTGCTTAGGAACTGATTTCGAGTTGCTGAGAAGCAAGAGCGAATCTAGTAAGCCTTGTCTGTTTTCCCCTTTGGACCGTAAGGGTGCAGTTTCCGTGCAGAGAGAATTGGTGTTTCAGGAGGAGCCTCCTCGGACAAAGCCAGGTCAGAAAAGTCAGGTTAGTGTGCCAGTTTCAGAAGGGAGAAAGAATGGGGGGTCTGTCTTGCATTAAGTCAAGGGTCTGATGGAAGATAGCAGAGGAAGAAGAAAGACTAAACTATGGATGATGGAAACGGGCCTGCAATTGGAGCAGGTCGTTGCTGCCGCCGGTGTTAACTATCGCAGGGGTGGCTGTATTACTTTCTGAATTGCACCAGTAAACATGGTTAGAGCCCCGACAGACAAAACGTTATATTCCTTCTGGTTACCCCACTGAAGAGTGAGGGTTTGTAGTACAGCTTGACACTGTATTGCCGTTCCCTTTGTTAGTAGGTTTTGTAAGATAACCCATATTTAAGTTGTTTATGTTTCCTCTGGAGATAGGTGGCAAAAGTAATAGAGAAGTTGAACGTTAAAATTTTCAAAGAAAATTAATGTAAAGCCAACCACTTTTCAGCTACGTCGCTATCATTGTTACGAAGAAGAGAAATCCTCTAGACAGGTCAGTCTGCCTTCCTTTTTTGCTCTCGGTGGGAGCGTCGTACTACATTCTAAGCTGAGAAGGTATCAGAGCACTGCACTTGAAGGGTCCTTTCCATATCCTGACAAATTATAAGTATAATGAGGGAAAAAAACCCAAAACTCATTAACCATGGGAATTAAGCGTGTGTTGGGTGGGAGGGTTTTCTTTTAGATTGATGCAAATAATCTGTTGATCCATCCCTTCTGCATAGAGAATACGTTCTATTGTAGGGTTGTACGAGGAAGATTAATGGTGAAATAAAAGAAACGCGGGATTAACCTCTGTTCTTGTGAAATGCTGTTTGAGACAGTTTTTCACTTCACCATGTTGTCTTTTTCATGATTGAGTTCACAGAGAATGGACTTGAAATGTGGAGGTTCTTTAAGGAATATGCTTTTGTAATAAATAACTTGCAGGTATAATGCAGTTTTGCTTTTCTTTGGTGGATGTTTTGGTTTTTCTACCTTGACTAATCACATGTGCTGGATAAATATAGAAACTTAAATCACAGTGAGTCGGAACAAACATTAGTCCTTTTCATTAAAAAAAAAACCTCAGAAAATCAGCCTATGCTAAATGACTGACTTAATGGTAAGAATTAAATTACTAGAAAAAGCAGAATTCAGCGCTCTGACAGTACAGCTCTACCTGCGGAGCGAACAGTAGAGGCTACATCCTGACAAGAGGAGGAATGGGAGCTCTCAGCCAGCAGAAGTGGAAGAAGGATTCAGCTTGTCCTGGTGCCGAGAAGGTATGCTTTGAGGCCAAGCAGAACAAATCCCGGGTGAGAAAGCACTGTGTTCTCAATGCATCAGGGTTTGAATTGTCCCCACGGCTACAGCTGTGCAGGGCCTGGTGGAGGAGTCGGTATTCGGCACTTGAGACTCTTATTTTATTCCTTAGCGCTGAATGTCACGTGTCCCCTGGTCGCAAGCATTTTTCTTTAACCTTGTGACAGCAATTCAGTGAATTCTGGTAGACTGGGGTTTTTTCTTTCAAAGAATTTTAAACAAGGTTAAAGTACAAATAAGGCGAGGCATAAAACCCCCAATGCAGTGCTGTAAATGCTGCAGTACACGGGGCGAATAGCGAGAATAAAGAGAAATCTATTGCAACGTACAGCAATTAAAGGCAAAAAGCATAAGAGTTAGAGGTTTTGCTTCTAACTCGGCTTGTACCCTTTGTTGCTCTGCGTTCTAACAACGGCCTAGCAGGACTGAGATGTCTTACGTGCTAACGCTATCGAAGCAAATCTGGCTGAGTTGCGTGTGCCATCACCCGACATCTGAGTCACTCCGTGTAGCCGAGGCAGCGGAGTCGCTTCGGCGAGCCCACGTGGTCACATCTGCAGTGTGTCATAATGCAGCATATGCAGCGCGCCGCCGGAGCACGGAGCGGCCGAGCGGGAGAGCCTGTGCTTCCCAGTCGTCACACCTGCAAGAGAGCCCCAGAACTCAGGAGACCTAAAATGGTCTACTTTGCAATAAAATACCGATTTATTCTGTAAAGTACGAAATGAAGGATTTTGCGCCTAAGTGCCAATTCCATAAAGAATCCTCCCTCGCTTCCTAAGCTCAGCCTGCTGACTAGCCTGCCGATGGCGGACGTCGAATCTACCATGCACTTTAATTACACCTGTTGTTCTGTGTTTGAAGTATCATGTACTTTTCATATTAATGAATTTCACATAATTAACTGTTAGATGAGATGCTGTGGTGGTTCAGTTATGTTATAATGGTGGAAATTATCTAGGCCTGACACGAATTTTATTACTGGTTTCCTATTAATACGGCTATTCTTTTACGCCTAGACTTACCTGAGAAACAAATTCCCTTGTTCCCAGAGCACCAGCATTATCCATGAGAGGTCACTCTCTGCAGAGATGCTTCCCTGCCCCAGATCCGCTATCGCCTGAACGATCAAGTATTACTTGTGCACTCGAGAGACTTAAGAGCTTGGCAAAGAAAAGTCAGATTTTAAAAGAGTTCGGTAAACTTGTGGCAAGATTTAGACGTGTCTCGGATGAATCGCCATAGGAAGGAAGCCGAGTCAAATACGGCAGCCAGGGTGCTTGGCTGAAAGGTGAGGAGCTCCACCATCCTTGCTGTGGTGGAAAAAAATGAGGGAAGCTTCTGTGGGAAGGTCAAGGTCTCTGCAGTGGTGATAGTAATTTTAAATTGATCACTGAGATTCCATGAAAATATTACAGACGAGACGGCGCCACGTGCGTGTCTGGATAAAGGCCAGCAGTAACCCCGTAGAGACGAGGGGTTACGGAGGACAGAAAAGGCTCAATTTTTTCTTTTCTCTTTCCTCCCCCCTCCTAGCACTATTTCTGTGCAGATCCTAGCATTTCATCAATGCAAATCAGTATTTCTGCCCACAAGGAATACGAGCTTGGAGCCAATTCCCCTGTTATTATTTTGTAGTTAAATTGTAAAATCTCGGAGCGGCATCAATCGGCATTGGATTAATGTGGAGCCAGGCAACGAGCAAAACTAGATCACGGTTCCTGCTTCTGATCCCTCCCAGGTTCCTACAGGTTTGATATAATTTTCAAACACATATCTAAGAGCTATATTTCACAGAGGACTGGAGTTAATTTGAGATGTTGTAAAACATGGTTTTAAAACAGAGGTTGACACTGTCTTGGTTTGTATTGCTGCCTCCCAGCCTTCCTCATATTTGTGCTACTGCAGACTCCAGAACTCCCTGTGTGGTTTTTACAGCTGCTAATCTAAAATAAAGCTTATGTTATTAGGCAGCTCTCTCAAGAATTACATGCAGTTAGATTTACACCCAGATATCAACGCTAAAAAGAAAACCTGAAAGCATCGGTGGTATTTATATTGTACTGGCAATGAACGCTAGGTTGCAGAATTAAGGAACAATTTTAGCGACATGACAGCTCCTAATAAGAAAGGAATAATGTGGTTGGTTTGTTTGGTTTTTTTTAACTTGGAAATGCTCCTGCCTAACACGTAGATCACTGCGGCAGCATCATCAGTGGGACCACCTGAGTCCGTTGTGTGACCTGACAGAGAGGGGTGAGCAGATTAAAAATCAACAAAATGCTAGCTG